CCCTCTGGGGGGGAAAAACCCCCCCCCCTTTTTTAGGGCCGAAAAAAAACCCAATTTTAAACCCCCCCCCCCCCCCCCGATTGGTCTACAGGGTTCCTTACAAGGGAGGGCCAGGGGCCATCCAGGGCTTTCCCAGATCTCAAGGAGAGTTCTTGGCGGCACCTGTTGCTGGGCAAAGCTGGCAAAGCCCAGCTGAAGCGTGACAAGTGGGACTTCTTTTATTTCTGTTGTAGAAAGGATATGTATAGCCACTGGCTCTTTTCTGTTACTGCTACAATTGTATGATTTAGGGCCCAATTTTTTTACCAGCCTAAATGGACACACGTTACATGGTCTGTGGAGCCAAACTGTTCCTGTTTGTGGAAGCCCTATTAATGATCATTAGAACTAGGGGTTCTTGGTTGTAGCTGTGGTGGTCTAAGGATGTAGGCAGATGAAGTACTTTGGGTAAATGTCGTGTCTTTTATGAGACCCACTATATAGGGGGGGAAAAATTGTTCTTCACAAGCTTTTGGGCACAAACAGGCCTCTTCAGGCAATTAGAACTAGGTACATTAATTCTCCAGGCATCAACTCTGTCTCTCAGAATTCAATATTCCCTCTTCACTCTTCCTGTTAAAAATTGAAGAGTACAATACCATTTTTTTAACAGGTTAAGTTTGTATTTTACCTTGCAAAGTAGTAAAAGGATATTATTTTAACAACCCTGTTCCATTACCATCTCTTCATTTAAAAGTATCAACTTTATAGAAAATGATTTAGTGAAAAGAAATGTAAGAGCCTCGGGATTATTTTATACAATTTACTGCTAAGAACAGTGACATACTGAGAACAGTTGCTAATGCCAGGCATGGTTTATGTTTAACTCCATCACTGAATCTCAAGGGCTAAACGCTACTTGACCTACACCTCTGAAATCTCAAAGACTTTAATTCAGGGCACAAATTGGCTTTTGGAGTAGGATACTGTTTGAATACAACATCACAAAAGGTTTAGAAAAAAACAAAAACAGAGTGTCTCAGAAAAAAATTATAGTTTGGAATCTAGATTCAGCAACATTAATTGTTCCTCAGAGTGTTGATGCAAAACCAGGGAAAACTCAAACCATTGCATCTATATCCCTTTTTAAGTTATGAATATGTTTGGACTGATTCTGGCAATTACCATGCTCTATGAACAATATTTTTTGTTTATGGAAATTTTTGTGAACTGATCTTTACTTCTTTTGGTATATTGAATATTCTTAATCACTTGCCATACATTATTCACTCTACATGGCTGCTCTCTCAAGTTACATGATTTCATGTCTGCTCCTTAACTGGATGCCCAAATCCATTTTTTTTTTGTTACATAAGATCATTCCAAATAGCATGCTTTTATTGTAGGGTGGGTTTGGGGTTTGTTTGTTTTTTTGGACAAATAATTATTCATGCTGAAATTCATGAAACTTCAAGGTTTGTGATCATGTTCATGAATACTCAGCAGGTATCCAAATGCTGAATAATAAGAGATGAACCAAATAATTGCTAATGAGACCCCACAAATCACAGTGAAGTAGCTCAGTGCTTTTATCCATGAGAATACCCACATATATATTTATTTAACTGTTTAACTAGCTGTAAAAAAGCAAAAATGAAATGTGCACAGTAGGAAACTTGGTAAATTAAAATCTGTAGATAATCCCCTGTAGAATAAAACTGCAGTATATCAGGCAGTCTTAGTACTCAGGAGATATTGACAACTGCATCAATATACCCAGATATTTCACAAATCCTTTCATATGTACTGGTGACCTGGGATAAAATCATGGCCCAAATAAAATGAACACCAAAACTCCTATTGACTTCAGTGGGTAATGTCATACCAATACAGCAATGCTGTCTTATTCACTATCACACCAATACACCAATGGTATCTTATTCGAGTTTTTCAGTCATATCCATCACATCATATTTTTGTTAGGTTCATTATGTGATGGCACTAGCAGCCTTTGCATGTAGTAATGCGACCCATCTAAGACCACCAAACTCATGTAAACTAAGCAGTTGAACCCTGCCTTCTAGGAATTAAAAACATAATAAAGTAAGCGCTTCATTTTGGGCTACCAAGACAGTGACTCAAACAAGCATTTTTAAGTAGTAGAAGAGAAAAAGTAAATAGCAGAACTACTTCCTCCAATTCAACAGAGATATTACATTCAGTTTATCTGGGGAACCACATGGAGCATTTTAAACCTGAGAGCAGCTTAGCTCTTCGACACTTACAACAGCTCTTCTTCCTTTTGGGTTTATTTGCTGTGTCACTGAATAAGTATTTCAGACAGTGCTTAATATATTGCCATTTTTCCTTGCAGGGATTCTTTGAGATTGCAAAGAACATTAAAAACATAAGAAGGCATGAGGCAGGATCCAGTACAGTAAAGTAGATCTCTTTAAGGACACGAAAGAAATCATTGCTTGGACCTTTTTCTGCTGTCATAATGAGAACTTACCACTGCTTCTGGTTGCTGTTTTGGGTTGGGCAGCACCATCAAAGTTCCTCAACTCCATTATCCAAAAGGACTAGTGGCTTCCCAGTAAAGGAAAAGGTCTTGGAACTGTCTGGAAATAACAGGAAGGCGCTTAATCGTTCCAAAAGGAGCTGGATGTGGAATCAGTTCTTTCTCTTGGAAGAATACACAGGATCTGACTATCAGTATGTTGGCAAGGTAGGATTCCTTTACACACATCTATGTTCTTATTTGAAAAAAGATTTAGGAACCCCATTTTAATGATTGTGCAGGATTTGCGTATTATCCAAATTTAGGGGCTGCTGATTGTCTGATCAGCTTGTTATGATGAATAGTTAAGGTCGAGAGGACTGCAGAATAAAGCTGTGCTGCAGTAGCAACACAGGAATGAAAATGCTCTGATCTAACTAGCATGGTCCACAGACATTTATTTGTGTTTATTTTAAAGCTTTTGATCTGATCATTGTCTCAAAATCAGAAACATGATCCAGTAGGAAATTCTGGATCACCTGATGTAATGTGTTGCCTGATGTAATATAGGATCTCATCACTGACTTCACTGGAATTATTGCAATTTAGACCAGATGAGAATTTGACCTAAAAGATTTTAACAAAATATACATTTACAATCTATGTGAAGTGACACGTTCCCCTTTTTGGAATTAGCCAACACCCAAATTATAAAGAAAGAAGCTCAACATAGAGGTTCAGAGATCATTTTGACAACAGTTAATTCTCTAATATAGCATAGTATATATAGCTAGTATGTTACTAGCATATAGTAATATAGCATCTCATCACTGATTTCACTGGAAGTATTGCAATTTAGTCCAGATGAGAATTTGACCTAAAAGGTTTTAACAAAATATTCTGCCTGCCAAAAAGTAACTGTTTCACTGCTCATTTCCCACTTCAGCTTTTCTGCCACTGCTATTTTTAATTGTATTTTGGAGAGCTGCTGAAATTTTTGTGTCTTGCTTTGGAACACAAAGTATGTAGGGCACTAAAAAAAAGAGCATTTGCCACATTAGAAAGAAGCAAAACAGTTAAAACCTTTTTTTGTGCTCAAAGCATGATAACAGCGAGGAAAATGTCTGTAAAAATCACACCTGCTTCCTGGCTATATCTCTCCCTTTGTGCTGTAGAGTCACATCTGCTACCTTTATTGAGGCTACAGAGCTAACACAATTATGGAAGAGCCAGAGAGATTTTATGCCACCACAGCCACCATCAATAACATTGCCAATAAGATACAAATGCAGAAACTGTACAACTGGTAATGATGTATGAGGCAGAAGTGCACAGGTGGTTTTCCTATTCAAGATGGAGCTGTGCCTGGTTTACCCTGGCCATTTAGGACTTCTAGACAATGCAGTTGATCATGGTGGCTCTCCACTTGTTCTCCCTCCAGAGCTCTGCCCATTCTCCTCAGAGCTGCTCCCCATGCCTGAGCTGTTCAGTGTCAGGTGGATGTGACGGCCATCTCCCACTGCACCGCAGAAAGGCATGATTCAAGTGAAAGAAGAGCTAGTCTGCAGCATTAATAGTGAGGCAACCAGGTGGATCAGCATTCATGAAAAGTCCCTTTGGTTCTTTTCTACAGAAGGAAGCCAAAGGCATCAAGTGGTCAGAGAGGAGGGAAAGAGGAGATAAGAGGAGAATGGAGGAAAAACTTAGGGAACAGAGAAATCAAGAGGAGAGAGAACCACAGAAGATGATAAAAGAGGGAATGAAATGGGGGGAAAGGGCTGGGGGGAAAAGGGTTGGCTGCCCATAAAGAAAACAAAAACACACTGTCATCAACTGAAAACCAGCAGAAAGGGAAGAGTAGCAAAAAAGAAAAAGCTAAGACAAACCTGTCATTTGCCCTGTAAATTCTGACATGGAGTCCACGCAAATCCCATGGGCCGTGGTTGCCCCACGGTTGGTAGACTTCAAGTAACAGTCACTGACTTCAAGTGAGACTGACGCATAACCTTCAGGGGAGAGAAAAGTATGGCAGGATGATCTTGACGAGTGGCTGTTAAGAAATAATAATAATAAAGCCTCTTTGGCCTTGTAAACCAAACAAGTCATTGAGAGAGAATAAATGTGGAAGACCATAATGTTATTTTTAGAATTACTTTTCTGTCCATAACTGGCACTTTAATATACTCACTATTGCAAAGCATGGAAGTGACACATGATATATAAATGTCATTGATTCCATGTCCCTAGGCTGTTCACAAGTGGCCTTTCACACATCCTTCAAGTGCCAGAACTGCTTTCCCTCTTGTAATTGAACAATTAGCCAAAAGGCAGTAAAGACCAGCTGTTTATTATTTGACATAGTTGTATATTTGAGTGAGACTAAAACACGGGAATATCTGAATGAATGTATAATTTAGGTAACCAAGCAATTTAACTGAACCAGTGGCTTTCAACTTTTTTTCATTTGTGGACCCCTAAAAAATTCAAATGGAGGTATGGACCACTTTGGAAATTTTGAATGGAAGTGTGCATTATAAGTATGGGTATTCACATACTTTTGATTGATCATCATCATCTTTCACAGACTCCTTAGACATAGTCTGCAGACCCCCAGAGGTCTATGGACCACAGGTTGAAAGCCCATGAACTAAACAATTACACTTGACTGGTGTGGGCAAATGAGCATAATGAATTTAGAACCTGGCTTTCCTGTCTTTTGGTTGAGTGCCTGAACCCCTCAGCCATCAGGGCATAAACATGGGCAGACCTATATCCTCCTCCTCATTTTTTGGGGGCCACTCTGCCTGTGAAATAGGAGCTACATTAAGAGGATCAGGTAATAGACTGCAGGATTGAGAAGAAAGAATAGCTTAATTAGTGGAACATCAAAACCATTAAAAAAAGAAGGGAGGGTTGTTGTTAATACCTGTGGAATGAAGAGGTTAGAAGGAATCAGATTATAATGAACCGTGAAGTCAAGTGACTCCCTCAGTGCTGCCTGAATAGAAATGCTGCTGCCAGCTGGTTTTAAATGTTGGGTGGACCAGGAATCAAAAGGGGGTGTGACTCTACCACTGTACCCCCCTGCCCTGGGTCCACCCCTCTCTGGCCCTTATTTATGGTTTCATAGTTAGTAGGGTTGGAAGGCACCTGAGCAGATCATCGAGTCCGACCCCCTGCCATGGCAGGAAAGAGTGCTGGGGTCAAACGACCCCAGCAAGGTGTTCATCTAGCCTCCTCTTAAAGGGTAGGAGCCAACACCACTTTGCTTGGAAGTTGGTTCCAGATCCTAGCTGCCCTGACCGTGAAGTAGTGCCTCCTGATATCTAGCTTGAATCTACTCTTTGTCAGCTTGTGACTGTTATTCCTAGTCACACCTGGTAGCGCTCGGGGGAACAGTGACTCCCCCAGTGCCTGCTGGTCCCCTCTGACTAGTTTGTAACAGGCCACTAGATCCCCCCTCAGCCTTCTCTTGTGGAGGCTGAACAGGTTCAGGTCCTGTAGACTCTCCTCGTAGGGCCTGCCCTGCTGCCCCCTGATCATGTGAGTGGCCCTCCTCTGGACCCTCTCCATGTTGTCCACATCCCTCTTGAAGTGCGGCGTCCAGAACTGGATGCAGTACTCCAGCTGCGGCCTGACCAGTGCTGCATAGAGGGGGAGTATCACCTCCCTGGACCTGCTCGAGATGCATCTGTGGCTGCATGACAAGGTGTGGTTGGCCTTCCTAACTGTATCCCCACACTGCCGGCCCATGTTCATCTTGGCTTCAATGATGACTCCAAGATCCTTTTCTGCCTCTGCACTGGCGAGAAGGGAGTTCCCCAGCCTGTAGGTATGGTGCTGGTTCATCCTCCCCAGGTGCATCACCTTGCACTTGTCAGTGTTGAATTCCATCCTATTCTCGTCCACCCACCCCTGTAACCTGTCTAGGTCCGATTGTAGCCTATTCCTTCCTTCTAGCACACCCACATCCCCCCACATCTTAGTGTCATCAGCAAATTTGAACAGGGTGCTTTTTACCCCCTCGTCCAAGTCACTGATGAAGATGTTGAACAGTGCAGGCCCAAGGACTGAGCCCTGAGGAACCCCACTGCCCACATCCTTCCAGGTCGAAAATGACCTGCCCACCACCACTCTCTGGGTGCAGCCCTCCAGCCAGTTGGCAACCCATTTAACTGTGTAGGTGTCAGCGCCACAGTCCCCCAGTTTCTTAATGAGAACGGGGTGAGAGACAGTGTCGAAGGCCTTCTGAAAGTCCAGGAAGACTATGTCCACTGCTACCCCTGCATCTAAGGATTTGGTGATCCGGTCATAGAAGGCCACCAGGTTGATCTGACAGGACCTGCCTCTAATGAACCCGTGTTGGTTGCCCCTAAGCATAATCTCCCCTGCTGGCCCCGTGTCGACATGCGCCAGAAAAATTCTCTCAAAAAGCTTGCCCAGGATTGAGGTAAGACTAACCGGCCTATAGTTTCCGGGTTCTCCTTCCTCCTCTTTGTGAAGATGAGAACCACATCTTAAGCATTTAGATGCTTAAAGGCACTGAACTCTTCTGAGAACTGGGATACAGATTTTTGTGTGGTGAGCACTTGACAATCAGCCCTCATTACTAATATATCACACAGGATATTGCAGCTGCTGCCTCCAAGAAATTCCTGTCAACACTATAAGAATTGCTCATATGCACTGGCCGCATAATCAGATCCACCAGTTCTGGTCTGTGACTATGTGTCTTATTCCTGCATATTTAAGTAATGAAGCCTAAAAAAACAACAACCCCACTGTCAGTTAGTCTGAGACATAATCACATAAGAAACTCTGAGAAAAGTTCTTGGCTGGAATTATTCATTGTGCTGCTGAATAACTTGTGAGCTGAGGCTATTAATTGGAGTGTGATTGATGGGTATAGTGACATTTTAACTTGAAGATATCTCTTCTTCTGGTTCAGGAATTATGACACTTGGTAGGGGCTGAATCCCAAAATAAAATAAAAGGATCATAGGAGCATAAAAGTACAGAGGTGCCCAGCACTACTTTACAGCACTAATCCAAAATATTGTGGTTCAATTTTTAAAAAGAAATTGATCATACCAGTAGCTACTCAGTGGGATTTAAAAGGTTTAGGGGATGTACTCGTTTAAAATCATAGGGGGAATGTGAGTGTGGGCACAGCCAAGCAGATTTACACATTATGTGGTGGTGAATGAAGATATTTTCTTTAGCGCAAT